TATCCATGTCCGAGGGAAGTAAAGACACTTACTTCGGATGGGTTTCGGACAACTCCCGGTCACGCATCCAGCTTCTATTTCGAACACTATTAGATAGAGTGTTTATAAACATACAGACATATACGAACAACAATGTCTGCATATCCATGTCCGAGGAAAGTAAAGACACTTATTTCGGATGGGTTTCGGACAACTCCCGGTCACGCATCCGCTGTCTGTTTCGAACACTACTAGATGGAGGGCTTATAGACAAACAGTCATGTACGAAGAACAACGGCGTGGATATGCAGTCAAAACAACCAGCTACGCTACACGCAACCGTTCCAAGCATAGTCACCGATGGATGGACTTCGAACAACTTTCGGTCGTGCATCCATTCTACGGTGTTGGTCATCGATAGCGGCTGCTGGCATCACTCACAAAGTCTTTCAAGGAGCAGCCCATGCGCCCGACATTCTCTTCAACGGTGTTGGAGTCACCAAGTCGTCCGCTGGCCGCTTCTTCGAAACCGTGTGGATCTGGGTGCCCTCTGACCAGTGCCCAATGGCATCGCGCTCTTGGTCCAAAACCTGGGCTTGTTCACTGGTGCGTGGAAAAGCCCTTTCTGCCAACAGAGTGACCTGTCCTTCCTTGCCGTCCCGCGTCAAGCGACCGACGAGTAGTCGAGGCTCCAGGTTGCCCGTGTTGAAGATGTGACATTCTGCAATGCTGCAGACAGCTTCCACTCGGAACTTGCTACCATTGGGGTATGGGGTGACCTCCTCATGCACCATCAAGACATGCTGGTTTTCGCCCTGTCCAATCGGCTGGGGTGTCGGTTCGCTCCAAGCCTTTGCCACAATGCTGACATAGCTCGGATGAATTGGGGCATCGTTGACGATGATGCCCAAGCTGGAGTAACTCACATCTTGGTAGACGCACTTGATGGGATAAACACAGTTCACCAGCTGCTGCTGTCCGTGACTGAGAATTTTCCGCAGCGAGGGTCGCTCATCATCCTTGAAGCCCACGGCAAAGCACGGCTTGGCAGCTAAGACTTGAAACTGACTCTCCGCAGCAAAGACCGTCTGCGTTTCTGTGTCTTGCGTTCCAAGTGCCGCGCCCTTATCCCTGCGACTCTTTGTCATGTATGGGGCCGTCCCTAAACGGACATCCACGGGTTGACGAAAACAAAGAAATTGCATCCCATGCCTTTCCAACATTTTCACCAGCTTGGCCTTCTCCTCCAGTTTGATGTTGGTCATGACGCACAGAGCTTCCTCATCGGCCAAAACCTTCTCCACGCAACCGGTTGGGTCGCTCAGATTCAGAGTCGCCAGGACCTTGACTTCCGATGCAGGGGTGGACGCGCACCCAGTGCTCTTCTTCTTGCACTCACCACTCTCTGGATCGATCTTGGTGTGACACTCGCTACAAGGAGTATAGACTGGCCACCCGGTCACTTCCGTCACCCAGACATTCTGCAACACCACTTCGATGGACTCCTTGATGCACGCAAGGACAGATGCCCTTCAGTCCGGGAAAGACACTGGGTAGATGCGTGTATATTTATATTTAAGCCGGAAAAGATCAAGTTTCCTCTCATGAGCCTAGATTATACACAGATGTATATACATCGGTACATAGAGTACACGGAGGCAAACGGACAACCGCATATTTCTGCCAAGGAACGTTTTGGAAGGCGTCCGTCAGAGCCAGCGAACACGTGTTCACAGTAGCCGCGCAACTCACAATTTTTTGGACTCCCATCAGTGGTCAATCTGACGGTGCCCACTCCTGCCCAGGGCGTCGAGATCTGCTGGCCACGATTCGGGGACAGTAGCTTCAATACCTCTGCCCGGTCACTTTTCGGATCCACCATCATTCTGGCAAACTTGTGTCTGTCGTTTTCCAGCCAATCTTGGCAACTGGCCTCCACCGAGCCATCTTCTTTCTTGGATAGCAGGCAGTTTTCCAGCTGCAGTACCATACCCACCTCGACGTTGTCCCGCACCCCCGCGGTGTATTTGGGACCCCACAGGCTCACCAACAGCTCCATTTCCGATTCATCCTTCATCCAAACCTCGGCTTTGGACACTGTCTTGGTTTGTGGAATGTTCTTGGACATCACCAAGCCAATGAGATCCGCTCGTTGGTAATCCCTGCAATGTTGTTTGAGGGTAGCCAGATCGGACTGTGATGTCGGCACTACTTTCGCCATGTCCATTGCGGTCTGGTGGGACTCAGCCATAGGATGGACTTTGACCTTCGAAGCTCTGTTGCTCATGTCGGCGCAGAAGCCGCCCAAGAACTTGTTGTTCTGACTGAGTAGCAAACCTTGCACGACCACAAACTTATTCTCACAGCGCATCTTGGCTTGCTTTTCCAGGTCAGCCTTGCCTTTGTAACTTCGAAATTCAAGATAAACGCCGTTGGCCTTCTTGTCCACCATGCGGACAATGCACTTCCACAGCGGACTCTTCCCTGGTGCTGTGATGTCTTTAGTCATGTGATACACACGACGTAAGACCACCTTCATTTGGTCGCAGTTGCTGCTGCTCAACCTGTCCAAAGTTGTTTCCAAAGCACTTTCCGCCATGGCGTCGCCAATTTGGATCGTCTGTGGGATTCGAACAACTCTCGGTCTCGCACAGATAGAGCCCAAACACTTGCCAACATTCGAAAGGAAACAAGATGAAATTAGCCTTTCACGTGAAAGGATAACAATGGAAGTCCACAAGCAAAGCGACACGAAACAAGCGCGGTAACAACTACGCGTCACCGTTTTCCAGTCGCAAATGTAACATCTCTCTACCCAATCGACGGGATTCGGACAACTTCCGGTCTCGCGTCGTTCAGCGGATCTAACTGTACATCAAAGAGGTGGCTCCCGCAGATACTGGCGATTTGGTTCGGTAGTCCGAGCAAATTCAATGATCTTAGCTAACTCACAAAGCAAAAATTCCATTTCCGTGTGGGTGGATGCCAGTAATTCTTTTCCAGCCTTGATCAATTGCATTTGCATCGATCTCTTCTTCGGTGACACCTGCAATGCTTCCAAGCGAGTCACCTCCTCCTGTAGCATTCGCCGTAAGCGTTTCACGCTGACGGTGCTGTTCTCAAAACCGCACACCAAATCCCCTGTCGTGCTTGCGTGACTGTTGTAGTTCTTCACTTCCCCGGCGATCAAGTTGCCTCCAGCCAATGCTCCTTCGCCCATCAACGTTCCAGCGCTCTGCACCCAAGCCGGGAGACCATGCCATCCACCGGGTTGCGTTGCTCTGTCGATGAAATAGCGTTCCAGGTATGCAAATGCATTTCGACCTAGCAGTGGGCTCAAGCCTGTTCCGAACTTCATCGCCAGAGATCTCCTGGAAGCGGTTGCTCCACCTCTACCACCCTTTAGTCCACCGTCCAACTTCTTCAATCCGATCTGCCTGACCTTTTTTCAAGCGACTCGCCACCAAATCAGCATCTGGAAGCGCCGTGGCATGGCGATCAAAGCTCCGTGTGAACAGCTTCTGCAAAGGGATCTTTGGAAGCAACACATCCAGGATATCCAACACATCTTTTCTCTGCAAGAATCTACCCAACTCGCGATGCTGTTTGCTGCACGCAGTTCGAAATCTTAGAACCGTAGATCTGTGATTGAACAATGCCACTGCAGCAGCTCCAGTGGCCAGTGAAGACCATTGCTTCTCCAAATAATTCAAGGCATCAACACTCTGCAGCGTCTGTGGGTCAGACGGCTCATCGTTGATTTTACACAACACCAAACACTTTGATGCCAACATGCATCTTGCTTCTGCCGGCTGAAAAA